TTATTAAACGAAAGAATTTTTTAAAGACCTCCGTATACATTTTCAAGTGTGCACCTTCAAATCATCGATAAAAAGGAGCTATTTTACTTTTTCTTTCAGTTATGTTCGTCAAAGTATATATTCTCCACGTAGTTATAAATTACAGAGAAGCGGTTTGTAAACTTAGTTTACAACGATACTCGTGTGTGATGAATATTACATTTACTCCCCTGTGAGTCATGCCCGATTCTTCCCCTGTATATCGTCTATAACATCCCCTAAATCATTAAGCGCGCTGACAGAAGCGACTTTAATAGGAACAAGAAGAAATTTCATTGAGGAAAATCGTCTGACTCATCGAACGATCACCGAGCAATTCCACGGATACCAAATGGTAGTTTTCTGTGCCAACGCTTCACGATTAAAATGGATTTAGGTTTAGGAAGTTCGACGTACATTAAAGACACTGTTGGGCATGGATGTGCCAAGTGGTAGGTTCGTTGGACTTGGCAGTCACGGCTGCGTTTGCTTTCGTTTTCGGCCGATCGGTTCTTCTCGGCCGACTTTACGACATAGCCAGCCTTGTGCAGTGAAACTATTTACAAGTGCCGTAACCATTCACCTCTCGCCGGTATTTTCATCGAGACGACGTGTTCCGTCATTGATAGCCGACCGATATTTTTGCACGACGCGTCACGATTAGATACTCTTTCCTCTCGTAACTGAGAAACAATAGAAATTTATTCCCTTTCCCTTCTTATCTTCCATCCTATTTCTAATCTAATTTTTGAATATCGATATGTGTAATTATACTGAAAAATATGATTTTTAATTGAATTTTTAAACCGAAGAATTAAATATTATAGATAATGATAGAGGAAGTTATTCAAGAAATCGTAGGTAGTTGATGATTGGATTATTTTCTGCATATTTAAATACAATTGAAGATTGAAAAATTGATTTAATGTAGATAAAGATACAGTTATTCGTACGATGTTAAGTATATTTGCATTTCATTTGTATGCTCCATGTGTTAGGAAACATATGGTCATGTTGTGAAACATGTCGCTTTCCTCTCTTTCACATAGTAAAGAATAGTATTGGTAATACATATTGCTGTAGATATAGTAGATGATGGAGTTGACTTATTTCGAGATATATCGTGGTATTATTAGACTTAAGTTCAATGTTTGATGAGAAGAAGTCATGATGGGCCGGGATTTTAATTTGATGTTCCTGTTTTACACACATGTGGCACATATGATAATTCATAGTTGGTGGATTTGGAGTATATGTTACAAAATTTTAATCATTAGACTGTTCTTATATATATTTTAAGCGTTGTACATTTAAAAGATAATTAAGTTCAAATTAATTATTTATCGATAAATTATTAATTGTCCAAAATTTAAAAGATAGAATAATTTATTGCATTTAATTTTATTTTTTTGATATCCATAAATGGATATAAACTAAATAGAAAGTGAAGAGGGGGAGAGAAAGAGAGAGGTGGTCCTATTGGTGTAGGGCTGTGGCTAAACTTCACTGTTAGCTGGCGCTGGAACAGTCAGCAACCAGTAGCAGCTAGCAGCATCCCGCTCGATCAATACGCAGCGCAAGCTGCGAGCCACAACTACGTGAAAATACGGCAACGACTACTATGATCGTCACCGACGAAGACGATGACACGACTACTACGTTCATGACGAGGACTGCCTACGTACGATACCACGACATAACGGCTTGAAGCCTGAGGGAGGGAGGAGGAGGAGGAAAAGGGAGGAGGACGTTGCCAGGCGACGGAAGCTGCCTACCGCCAGAGTTCATCGTCCTCCGGCATGTTTCTTCTCCCTTCCACCCACCTATTCACCCTGCGTTTATCCTTCTTCTCCGCTCCCTCCGCGCCACTCGACTTTGTCTTCTCCTCGCTCTTTCTCGTTTTTCATGCTCCCTCTCTCTTTTTTTCCCTCTCTAACCCCACGCATTCCCCCTCCTCGATGCCTCGCTGTTGTACCACTCCCTGATTCCCTCTCTGACTTTTCTCTTTTACATTCTCATTCCTCTTTTCGTCTCATCTCTTTTTCTTTCTACGTATGACTCTTTTTCTTTGGGTTTTGTATTTTCTCCAGTCGGTTCGGTCAAGTTTTTTTCTCTACTGCGATTTTCTTCACACTATTTCTACGATCTTATCGAAGACTAGTAGCCCTCTCTTAAGGATCTTCTCGAAGAAAATTACTTTCCTTGATTTTCTCTTCCTTTGATTCGCTTTTCGTTCTCTCTCGTTCTTCCTCGTTCTCGTCTTACACATTCATTTTTCTTTTTCGCGTCAGTTTGTTTTCCCTTTTCAACCCTAGTTCTTTTCAAACGTACGAACGCGCATGCGCGGTTGACTTGTGTACACATCCGATTTGACTAAAAAAATCACGAATGAAGAGCAACTGTCTCACGTAATTTATACTCCATCTATCTTCCTTCTCTGTTCGATTTTTCATCTCTCGAAAATACGTTTTTCTGCGATACTCCATCGTAAGTTTTTTCTCTTTCTCTTTGAATTATTCTCTTTCGAATACGTATAGACGTTTTTAACGATCGTCCTCAATTACCAGTGCACCACGATCATCGCGCCATCTACAAAACCGTAAACTCGCGAATTAATCAGTACCGACCGCGTTCATCGATTTTATACTAGAGGATATTTAATTCCACTACAGCATATCGGATTTTCGCTCTTTCTGCTTAAGTCGTTCTATTCCGTTCGAATACGGCTTCAGCACCCACCATATCCTTTTTTTTTTCCATTTTCTGTCAGTGTTTGTTTGAAATATATCCCACGAGTTCAATGTCCAGCACGAAGGTTCGTTTCCAATAATATTTCAGGGTACATACCAAGCATCTTCTCCATATCCCTTTATCTTTCCTGTTACCATTGCACATGTGTATCGTTTCTTCTTTTTTTGCCCTCCAGTTTAAGCTTCTCTTTTTTTTCGATTTACTCTTCCCCTCGATTGTTTGTCTTTTTTTTTCTCTCTCTCGTTCTCTTTCCTTCTTCGCGTTTCCCTAGATTCTCCTCCCTGAAATTCGCATTGGCATACATCCTCTACCACCTCTTCGTTTCCCTCTCGTGCTAACCTCCTTCCTCTCATCGTTCTTCTTCGTCCATCTCCCACCCCTTGTGCCACCCGTTCGTACTCGCCATTATCACGACGCGCTCACATTGCAAAACAACCGTTGCACCTCCGTTGACGTCGTCGTCGTCATCATCGTCTTCGTCGTCGTAAATGTCGACGTCGTTTCCATCATCGCTATTATCACTCGCATACAAAGATGCGCTTGTCGAGGCTGTGCATTGCAGTCTTTAGGGCCTGTCCTCAAACTGTTCTCCCTCCCGCAACCCAAGAGATCTTCCTATTCGACTTACTTTCGTTTATTTTCGATGACAGTGCAGCTGCACGCTGCACTCGCTGATTGCCGACGATGATGAGCTCTTTCCGAAGAGATATTCCCACGTATATATCGCGACGTTGTTCCCCTTTTCGTGGGACCGGACTCGATGCTCCGGTCTCTTCGTGCGTTATTGTACGGTTAATTCAGGTGATTTCTATAGACGCGAACGCTCACGGCTTGTTCCACTTGTCGATCCTTAATTGACGTAAGGAACGTTTTCTCGGACATTTCTTTGTCTTACTTATTCTTGGTTCTTTGAGAAATAGATCCTTGAAAATGGATCAACGACGATCTCCATCGGATTTTATAAAATCGTCGAGGATATATATATATTTTTGACAGAATATGATGTACGATTTTAAACGCAGAATTATTTCTATTAATATATCTCAAAGAATTTGTAATAAAGCATACATTTATGTATATGTTACGTCATTTATCATCTCGTATTAATTTTTTTAAAGAAAGTCGAAAATCAAGAAATTCCAGGTCACCATTCATTTACAATAAAATGCTCTAACAGATGGCCAGCAAGTAACTAGAAAGTTTCTTATATACTTCGAGTGAAATCTTGGCAATATAGATGTTATTCTCATTGACAATGTTTTAAATCGTAAGTTTCAAGAAAGTGGACCATATCCGTATTAATTTTCTCTTCGGTCGATTATTATGTTGCATTTATCGCATCTTAATGATTTAATATAAACGGGATTTTAAACATTTTATTGACAAAGAGAATTTTATCAAACTTCGTCGAAAAGAATCGAGCACACCATCGCAGAACGATACGCATGAAATCTTCCTCAGATGTATATTGCGCTATCAATATTGCTTTGCAATATGATCCACCTGTAAAGGACACCAGATATCTTATTGACTTACGATGTACTTCATGTGTGGTGTTAGTGCGTATAAATAGGCGCAGGTGCAATTTGTTACGTACTCGTTGAATCAAGTTAAGTACTTATCTTAACCTTCTCTCGCATTGTGTTGATTTTTTATTTAATCCCTTTTTTCGACCAAGAATTCTTCGTTTTGTAAATAAAAGTGAATTTAAATGAAATAAAAAATAGTTTATCCGCATCAGGATTTGAACAACTTGAACTAACTTATTTCAATAACGAACACCTTAGTTATGAAGCTATCGAAGCCCCTTGGTGTTCCTTTACTTTTTCCGGTTTTTTTCCCCTATGAATCGACCGTTCGTATCGCAAAGGTTTCTGATCCTATATGCATACGCGCTTCTAAATATTGTATAGCAAATATTCAATGTAAATTGTTTTTTAATTAATTGAAACTTGAATTATTTCACATTATATAATATAAACGAGTTTTTTTATTTTAGCATACAGAATTGAAGCGAATATTTTTCTTTTAATTTCTAATTATTGTACTAAAATTGTAATTAAAGTTAATATAAATAATTAGCGACTATTATGTTATTATATTATGTTTTCACATTAATAACAGTCGAGCAATCAAAAATAACTTGAAGTAGAAAAGATCAAATTAAACTGAAATATCTTTTTTTTTTATAATTCAATATTATAATTTTACTTTCCTTTTTTTTGTTACAGAACGTGGACCATAAGATGAAATTCCGTTCCAAGAAAGGCGCGTTACCATTTGTCGAGCTAAATGGTGAGGAAATTGCGGATAGCACGATTATCCTTCGCGAGCTTAGCCAGAAATTTGGTAAAGATCTGGACGCCGTTCTTACGTGTGAGCAACGAAGCGTATCCCACGCAATGATATCGATGATTGAAAACCACTTAGTCTGGGTGGTCATGTGCTGGCGAACTAAGAATCTTGATCAGGTTTTTAAGGGTTACAAGGTGAATCTTCAGCACGTGCTGGGTACTCGTATCCCCAATGGCATTCTCAATTTCTTTTTCAAACTCACGGTCGGTCGTAAGGTAAATATTAATTATAAATTTCGTTTTTTTCTTTCATTCCTTCTCACGATAGTTATCTATTATCTATAACTGGAATAATGAATTAGCCTTAAGTGGTCAAATTTTGGCTCAGATTACACTTAAATATATCATTAAATTTATTGATATGAAATGTATATTAAATACTTAAATCAGCATGCTTGATATTTATTTTAGGGCGCAAAGAAAGTGAAGGCGCAGGGTATGGGTGTACATACTCCAGAAGAGGTGTCCCAATTCGGTTGCGCCGATCTTAAAGTTCTTTCTGACATGCTTGCAGACAAGCCTTTCTTCTTTGGAGACGAACCGACTACGGTAAACAAAATTTTAATTTATTTATATTAATCAAAATTATTTTATATTCAACCTCTCATAAATTTCTTTCCATTTTATTCCAAACAGTTGGACGTTGTAGCATTTGCACATCTTGCCCAAATTCTCTATATCGATAAAGACACACCATACAGTCTGCGAGACTATATGCAGGAGAATTGTCCAAACTTGGTGGGACACTGTTCACGCATGAAGGAACGATGCTTCCCGGATTGGGATGAGATTTGCTCTACTCTTGATATGAATACTCATCTACCGAAACCAGAAAAACAGGAGGAGAAGGAGGGCAAGGAAGATGCAAAGGAATCGAAGGAATCAAAGGAAGAAAAAGAGGGTGATAAAGAAAAGGCGGATAAAGAAGAGAAAGAATTGGAGAAAGACAAAGAAGTTGATGAAAACAAAGAAAAGGAAAAAGAAGGGAAATAAGTTCTCTTGAAAGACAAATAAGTCGTTCAGAGAAAGGGAAAAAAAAAGATTTAAAATTTGAGAAAAGAAAATTGAGGGTGTGATCTGGTAAGATATAGAAAATCTTAGGGGGGATGGGGGTTGAAAAAGGAAAAAGAATGAAGATGGAAGAAAGAATGCGCGTGTGTATGTATGTGTGAATGTATTTCGTACGAATGTTGACAGAAAGAAATAGAAAATGAAAGAGAGAGAGGGAGGGAGGAGGAGAGAGGAAGAGGTATTAGAGAGGATGAGTGATAAGAAAGAAGTTAAAATGTGTGTGAAAGAGCAAACGAGAGAAATTCGACGTGTGAAAAGAAAGAGGGGTAGGGGGATTTCAGGTTTAGAGCTCTCTACTTATACGTATAGATATTAATAGACTCATAATGTTAAATACTTCGTTTATATACGTTCGTAACACGTTATTACGCCATTTCTCATCGACACCCCAGCACACCCGAATCGAATAACAAACTTTATTATTATATTTGACCCAGGGCCCTTTTCCCCCCCTACGAAAAATAATACAAGAAAAATTAAGGAATGATAACAGAATGGGGCTATCTTATAAGTCATTAGAATATCGTAGGTTTGCAATATATCAAATGCAATAGCCTGACACATTCAGGTTTGTGAAAGATCTTCTTCAATGAATAGTGGCCAAAATGAATGTATCGTACCGTTGTGCAAATAGACGTAAACCATGATATGATTTATACGATGCAATTTAATGTGAAGAAGCGAAATCATTTATGGTTACGATATACGACGTTAGATAGCGCCCCTGATACTGATTCAGGGAGAAGGCGTCTTGCGGTCGCTTCATACAGCATTGGCTCTTACTGTGCAAAATGAGTTACGTACCTAGCGTTTCAGCAACGTACCGTATATCACATTGTGATCTTCGTTTGATCGTTTGCTTCTTAGTTATATGTGTATATGTCGCATTTTTATAATCACTGTACGGTATTTTTATGATTTTTTATTTTTTTTATCATTTTTTTTTTTATATAATTCAAAATCCATTCAAATCACTTTTCAGAGTATGATGTCATAAATTGCTTTCTAATGCATTTGAATACTCAAATGATTTCTGCAAAAATCGTTTTTTATGCAACGATAATCAGAAGATTGAATATTAAATTTTCAAATGCATTAGAAAGAGACTGTTTTTGTGGTGACTGTTTTTAATTTTGACTTGTTATATATTTTTTTTATATGATTTGTCTCAAATAGAAACCAATTTTCTAACGCGCGTGCGTCAAGTTATGTAATTTTTTACGATTCATTGACAATGTCCCTCCGACGAACGAAGTATCATTTGCGATTACGGATCGGCGGTAAATGATGATATTTACGATGATTTGTATATTATTAGAGATATTTGTATTACATACATGCGGATATAATCCAAGTGATTGTGCCGCTGGAAGCGGAAATGGCATTGTCACCGCGTTCTGAAGTCATTCGGACGCTTTGTTTCTTCTTTTTCTTTCATCAAATAAAAAAAAAAAAAAAAAATATGAATAAAAATAAACTAGAAAAGAGGCACAGGCAAACATCGATCTCTTCTGTCTGGGTTTCCTTTCGATATTCAAATGAAATAAAAATAAAAAAGAAAAAGAAAAACGAACGAAACGCTGTGCTGCCCCCGTGTGTTAGTTCAACTTTATTAGATGACTTTTTTCTTCGGATGTGTGAGAAAAAATTTTACATAACGAAGTAAAAAAAAAAAAAAAAAAGAAAATACAAAAAAGTGTCTTTCACGCATCGAAATGAAAGAAAAAACATAACCACACAAGCGTGCGCGCGCGCGAATACACTACACGCACACGCATACACATATATATACACGTACAGACATTTTGATGTATAATGTTATATCGAACGGGAATTGAATGTTTTTTGTACGAGGCCGGCTTTTATTAAAGCATTGGCCAGAAAATAATTCCACGAAGACACGAGGTTAATATAATTAATATTTAAGTAGCTTACTATAATTAAACGACGATTACGATTACATAAAAAACAAAAGAAAAACACAAGTAAACAATTAGTGTGTGGAAACTGTTTATACCTTATTAGAAACAACGCATACGTTTACATCCGTGGTTACATTATTATTATTATTAATTATTATGGATTATTATGAATAAATAGTAAATAAATAAAGATTAGTGATGACGAAAGGAAAGAAATGAAAAAAAGAAGTAATAAAAAAAATACTTGGACAAGACCATAAACGTTGCAAGCACAGTAGGTAGGCACACATCCAGTACAGTAAGATTATAATAAGGAGAATATTAATAATAATTATAATATGACTGCTCGTTTTATGCTCGGCGCTATACATTTCATTGTCATTATTATATCACCATTTATTAACGATATACATACGAATAAATAAAATGTGTTTATAAATATAATGTGATCTTTACGAAATTTTCATCGATCTTTATTAATTGACCCGATACGATGAATATTTTTTACAAATAGCAACAAAAGAAAAAAAATTTTTGTTTTATTTTATATTGTTTGTATTTGCGACTATCTTATTGTGCATTTAGAAAATAGCACATACACATTGCATGCAAATTAGGTTAGGTGGTACGATTAATTTAGTTTTATTAAGAAAATTTTATTTCTTTAATTGCGGCAAAGAATGTATTAGAATCGTTCAAATATTTTCATTTTTAATTATGTTATAACTATAAAAAATGCTTTTTAATTATGTTATAACTATAAAAAAAATGTGTACATACGTCGTGTATAAGTTGTACGATCAGTAATTTTTTTCATACATTTGATATAAGTTTTATATTGATATATAAATGAAATATTGAAAAATAAGTAGAAATGAGTAGGACAATATGTGCATTATATATTATAAATATTGAATAAGAATAAAATGTCGATGTCGAGTTAGAGATTTAATAATACATAATAAAAAAAATATATAAAATGATCAATAGTTTATTTAATGTTAGTTTATTTTAAAGTGCCATAAAATAAAGTGAAAAGTGAAGTGTTTGAATAGAATAAAAGCATGATTGGATCAACTATTATTTATTATCTAAAATTTAAATATACATAACGACGAACGATTGAAACGATCGTTTACAAGATAATACTTCTAATTTGGCGTAATGTGTAGTTGTATTCTTTTAATATTTGTATCGAAATATATATTTAAATTATAATGAATCATAATATTTATTTTTATAATATTGGTTTGAGAATATTAATTTTTATTATGATTGCTTTTAAAAGAATACAGCTAAGAAATATTTTTTATTAATTATAACTTTATTTTTCGATTTTCTACTCGGCACAGGATATGTATAATATTGCTATAATTTAATGCTACGATTAATTTACTTATAATTATTAATATTATTTAGACAGACAGCTTTTTATTTTTGGAATTTTTTGAATTTAATTATGATTAAACATTAATTTTTATTTTCTATATATAATTAACTTTTACTAAAACTTTTTCTAATTGATTTTTTTTTTTAAATAATGTTTAATCTGCATCGATTAAAAACAGATTTTAAAGTAGTAATAATCAATTATAAAACTAAAATAAGTTTTCATTTTTGCTCTTTTCATTTTAATGATATTTTTAACATTTTTTTTTCCATTTTCCAGCTTGCTAAATTACTATACAAAAGTTTGATTTTTAGATATGTAAAAATATATATAAGCAACTAATATTGTTATATATATATATATGGTCCCTAGTGGTCCAAAAATATTGTGTTTTCAGAACTCTGTCATTAAAATATAATTGTGTTCTAATAATTTTTTTCCAATTTATTTTCTATAAGAGAATAATATTAAACAAATGAACACTTATAAAATTGGAAATAAATATATACATCAATGAATTCTATGAAATAGAAGAATATTTAGCAAAAACTATATAGCTTCGAAAGTCTATAATAATATTGCACATTTATTTTTATATTTTTTTTATATATGTATATATAATTATTTTTTTAAAGTTTAAATGTTTTAATCTAAATATCATGATGAATTCGATTTTAAATCAAAAACATCATGTTCGAGGTAGTATAATTACGATTTTAACTTCGATTTTAATTTTTTTATATTTATTAGTATTTTTTAACATTATCTTTAAGATTTTTAAATTCCTAAATTTTAAAAAGTAAATAAGTATAGTTTTTTAATTAAATTTAAAAAATATAAATTTTTTTAATTCATTTAATAGATTAGCAAAATATAGTAATACGCATCTACTTTCATAATCATTATTTTACATATTATTTTTTTTATATAACAACATTTTATATATTTTCTGAATTCAAATCACAAAAACATCAATATTTTCAATTTAAAAAATGTAAAAAATGCAATTGCAACATATTAACATTTAAATGACATAATATATGCTTTTTATTTTTTCAATTTATTTCAATTTGTAATTCTATGTAGAATTTTAGAGTTTTGCATAACCACTAAGTTATTATTCTTAACCGAATGGAATAATGAAAGACGATGCGAACAATAAAATGCAAAGAATTATAGTAGCCTCAAAAGGCTGTGCTAGTCATAGATGACTGCACGCCGGACTTCGAATTCGGTTGTCCGGCGTGTGACTATAGCTACGTAGACGCAGCAAGACTTATTGATGTTGATTCAGTGACAGCTGATCGTGGTTTTACATCTAACGAATCATAAAGTGGAAATTCGCAACAGAAAAGAAATTTTAGGAAATGAGGCACTTCAACATATATGGATGGTGGTATTGGTATTAATGGCGATGTAGATAGTTTGTAATAGCGATATTCGGCGTTACTGAAATATATTAAAATATTTTATATAAATTTTCTTTGTTAATAAAAATAAATAAATAATATATGATATATATGAGCTAAAAATTTATAAATTTGATGAAAGTTAGAGAGATTAATAAATATTGCAAATCAGAAACTTACTCACGATATCTCTCATCGGAAGCTCTTTCCAATAGAGGCATTCCAGATAAGAATAGAATAATGAAAGTAGTGAATATTGGAGAAGCTATAGCAATCCATTCAATGCCTTCGATTACATTCAAAGATATTACGAAGATACCCCACCATACTACTATTTCTCCAAAATAATTTGGATGTCTAGATAATCTCCATAATCCTAAATCATAATTATTAATCATCTGTTATTGAATATTTGGAAAAGACTGATGTAAAAAACGTACCGTCATTACACCATTTGCCATTATTCACTGGATCTTGTTTGAAAGAAAATTTCTGCAAATCGGCATAAGTTTCAGCTAATAAACCAGTTACGAAAAGTCCCGTACCAGTGCTGTCTAGGGTTGTCATCGTTTTAGGAGCTGGTGGTATTTTGTGTCGCGGTGAATTAATGATAATTACTGGTAAACTCACAACATAGACCCATACAGCCTAAAGATAAATTTTTTTTTAAAATATACAAATATTTAAAATACAAATGAAAATTAATATAAAATTAATTAGAAATTAAAATAAAAATTACGATAAGTAAAATATGATTTCGATAAATAATTGATTTTGATTATTACTGTTACCTGAAATGTCCAAAATACAGCAAAACGAATCACATTACTGCGACGATCTTCAAATCTTTTATCGCGACCAATTTTAATAATTCGATATAATAGATATCCAGAAAGACGAACACCCCACAAGCAAACAAATATAGTGACCATAAGTTGTCTACTGTCATAAGGCTACAACATAAAATATTTACAATTATAAATTATAATATTATTTACATAATATTAATAATATTTAATATTTACTTCAATACTTATGATAAATTTGATAAAAATATTAATAATTTGTTTTAAAAATGAAATTAAATATTCAAATTATCTTTTAATGACTGTTGTTAGAAATTATAATTTTTTTTAAAAATAAATGATCTTACAAAAATAAATTAACAATAAATCAAATATTTCTATGTTTTATCTTGTCTAAATCTTCGATTTAATAATTCGCTGTGTGTTCATTTGCATAGACACATATATAGAAACGGTTTTATAATTAGAATACCTTGCCTACTTGGCCGAGAAAGAAAGTGAGAAGGGCGAGGATGATAAAGTTCGTGCCGCCGGCAAAATCTGTTAGCTTGTCCAGTTGGAAGGTCGCCGCAATTGTGAAGAATATAATTTGCATACCGACGGTGACAATTGCACTCACCGCGAAGTGGTCTTTATCCAAAATATCGACCGCCATTGATCGATTGTTGATTTCCCACCTCCACACTTGATGAACTATTTTCGAATCTGAAGTCATTAATGAAACTGTTATGTAGCTTTAGAAATATAATTTTTAGGAAAAGAATATTTATAGAAAATGAAAAGATATATAAGTTATTTAATAATAATTTTATAATTAAGAAATCAAAATATTATTTAAAATTTCTTATATTTTTTTTTTATCAATGTTTCAAATAAAAATATTTTCATTTTATTTATACAATTTTATAAAATGTTATTTTGTTTATTTTTTAAAATGTTTTAATAGTTTACATTATTTTAATTTAAATATAGTATATTATAAAATGAAATAAAATAAAAATTATAATATATAATTATATAATATATAATTATGTTACAAAAAAATATAATTGAAGTAATATTATAATTAGTGATATCTGCAAAAGTTTAAACAGACTTGAAAGGATTGTATATTGAAATATAAATCAAATACTTAATATTTTTATGATTCTGCTTTCTTGTATATGTGACCTTGATGCTTAAATGTTTTTCATTTATTGATTATATTGATTCATGCATATTGTAGTTCCATTGTTTAATAACAGTATATATTTTGAGAATATAATATTTTAAAAAGCTAGAAAGCAATAATAATTTTATTTTATAATTTAAATTGTTTCATTTCTGATCAATAAAACAAAATTTATATTTATATTAAAATAATCAAAAATTTATTTTAATATTTCGTATTTCGAAATAAAAAATTTAAAAATTTACTTCAGTTTAAAAAAATTTGATGTTTTTCTTTTAGGAAAATATTTAATTTATAATCTTTTTTATTATACATCATTTGGTTTCTAATAGATTACGATCACTTTTAACTATCTCCGCACTGTTGAACGTCGCAATGCAGCTCATTTTATTCAATATTGTCACAAAAAATATTTTATAAAATATAATTTTCTTTATGACAAATATTCATAGCATTTAAATTATCTTTCTTATTTGATGTAATGCCATCATTTAAAATATTTTCAGTCATAAAACAATAGAAAAACGAATATATTATTATATTTATACTTACCGTTTTTTAATTTGAAACTTTTGCATCGTATAGTCACAATTCAATCTTTAATCAATCATAAAACAAAAGCCAACATTCTTGTTAAAAAAATCCAGTATCAATTATTTATTCAAAACAATACGTGCAAGTAGAAAAATTCACATTTGTTACCAATTTCTAACTATAATCAAAAATTTTTCGAATCATTTTTCAACGTATGGTAAAAAATAATTTCTTTGATATTATCAATTAAAAATAATGTTAGCACTATTCACAAACTCAATTATCACTGCATTGTCAAAAATCGAAACTGATATCATTAATCAACTAACCATCTTTGAATTTCGCATCGAATACTAAGAAATAGATACAAATCACACCAAGCACTTGAGAACAAAAATTTGCGAATTCGGAATATCCTTATTTCATACAGACATTGAATTTCTAGGTAAGAGAAAATATTGTTTGTGTAAAATACGTATATATCAGTTAAGGAGAAATGATGATTACCTCAACAGAGAGGAACCTCATTGTAACAACTCGTAAGATGTGTAGAATAGACCTGCTTCCACCCGCGGCGATAGGCAGCGGCAGGACTACGAGAGTATTCAATGTCGAATCTAAAACAAGAAATCCCTGATCACGTGCTATGAAACGACTGCGAGCGCATCGGGTACTTTTCTTCTAGCTCGAACCTTGTTACCACTATATGCGTCTCCCTCTAATCAGTACTCTATGGTGTGACCTATTGGGTTTTTTGATTCACGTTGACTGTCTGACATTACGGCTTATAATTATTTCCATAATTAGAATCTTATCATTCTATGCAATTGATATTATTTTTGAAGAATTTAATTTAAATAAATAAAAAAATAATTTTAATAGAATGTAAATCAACGAAATTCAAAATTCAAAAACATGGTTAGATTTTATTATTTGAAATGATTATAAAAAAGATATTGAAAATAAAAAATAATTTTTATTTTATTGTTAAATTTTATGCTTACGTGTATTATATTTGTGAGAATACTTTATTTTTGATATGAACTATATATAAATAATGTTTTCATGAAAGATATTTTTTTTTATTTATTTTTTTTGATAAAATATATGATTACTTTTTTGTTTCTTTGATAGTTATTTTATCATAATTGCTTTTTTCATCAAAGCTTTGTAATATAAGCCCATTCAACATAGAATCAATACATATACGCGAGCGCGAATGAATTTCCACTTAAATGGAACATGGCGCATTACACTTTTCATTTGTATTGTAGTATTGAAGACAATGCACATCTTTTATCAAATATCGTTCAAAACATTCATTTTATATTGAACTTGATTTTTTTAAAATTTATATAAAAATAAATGAACATAAAAAAAATCAATTTGTTGATTTTTAATTGGATTAATAATAATTTATTTTAATATATTGTACATTATATTATTATAGTAACTTTACAAACAATAACTAATATGTCTTATTTCTACCACGCATAATGCGCATATATGATTAATTCCGACGTATCTTCTTATAAACATTATAAAATTCAGCTTGATGAAAATAAATGATTACAATATTTATGATTACTTCTTAAATTTTGGTCTTGTTTTTTTGATAAAAAAGTACAGAGATCCATAATATGGAAATGTAATTATAATATACATGCAGTGCTCTGATTTTCTAAATTAATCACAAACAATGTTAAAAATATATTCTTTTGAATGTTTTTATTAATTTTCCATTTAGAAAATATCTTTAACTAAGGTTTTCTTTATTCATTCAAATGCACTGCATAGTTTTTTAATTGCTTCAATTTCTTTTTAAAATATCTATTTTTAATTTTAAGATTTAGTATATTTGCCCCAGATATGAAGCATAAAGACAGATGCAATAAAAAGAAGAGACATAACAAGCACAGGTACTGGTCCTCTGAAAAGAGATATTTAAATTATCAATATTTATATTTTTTTTTTATTTACTTACTATTTTATGTACTTACACTTTGATACCAGGAGAATCATCGGTGTAAAACATCCACATTTCATCAGAACCAGCTCCTGTATTTCTACTCCGAGTTGAAGTAGTTGTTGCAGTTTTTCTTTGTCTAACAGTACCACCACCTGTTCTAGGTGCTATAGCTTTGCTGGGCGATCGTCTCGCAGCTCCAACTGAAGTAGAACTAGGTGCAGCAGGCTTAAAAAAGTAAACAAAATATAACCATAAATTTTTAAATCAAAATATTATTTTTGCAATTATAATCTTAGAAAATTATTTACCATTATTTGTTATTCTAATGTTAATTTAAAAATACCAGAAGTTTACGAAAAATTTATTTTATAATTTATAATTTTGTCTAAATTCACAATAAATAAACTTGATATGTTTCACTTTTCAAATCTTATTATTAATTTTTATCTTATTATGAACAACATTAAAAAAATACTGAAATAATATCACTTGGTAAAGCCAACCTCCTTCTACTAAATAATTTAAACGTTTACTAGCGATATGAAGCACAGCATAAAGCAACGTGTCATATATACACCATCCACGTAGTGAACTCTCGACACGTCATCATATGTTGTTAAATTCACAGTGACGCATGAGCGTTGATCATTACGTCACGTTTTCATGAAAAAAATATTATCATAAAATAATATTTCGAATTATTATTATATTCATTTATTTTATAATTTATTTAATAATAATTACTTTAAAATAATCAAACAATTATATAAATAATTTTTTCTATATTATTAAAAATATTCAAGAAATTACTAGAAATAAATTAAAATCATATGATCAAAACTCGAAGAATTAGTATCGAATTCATAATCTTGAAATATGAACCAAGAAGATTCTTTTTCGTATATTAATTTATTTATGAAATTATATTATTAATATAAAGCTCATTTATTTAAAAATAAATTAGTTTTGAAATAAAAATTCATAAATACAGTTTACTTTCAAAAAAATTTACAAATAGTAATACATAGCAGATTGCCATCGGTAAATATAAAATGTTTTAAGCAATTTTTAAACAATACATTAAGTCAAAATATTTGTTACATGATATGGTTTAATTATTTTCAAAATTGGCTGAACATAATCTAAATAAATTTCAAAAGTAATAGTTATTAAAAATTTAAAAGTATTTTAATAAAAATAAGATTTTTAAATTTTATAAAGCTTTAATAATTTGGATAATAATGATGAATTTAAATAACTGCAATTGCATAAAATATCGAATTTGTGAAATAAAAGAAAAATATCATTTTTATAATAGTTTTTTATGATAAGGCATTTATTTATTATTTACATAATGTACGATTATTATTTTATATAATATTCTATATCAATTATATTTTTGGTAATAAATAACATATAACTTTTACATAAATTTAAATTGAACTAATGTATATAATTTGTCATATTGAAGTTCTATACAAAAGAATATTAATTATCTTGTACTACTTACATGCATATATAATAATATGTTCTACAATTTCTTTTTTTTTAATCTTCCACATTAACAGACTAGTTACAAAATTATGACAACATATTACGTTATTTCTTATAAAATTGTTCGATTTTTTTATCATGATGAAAATATTAGAATCTTAAAATACAAAAGAAAATCATACATATTATTACAGGAACTTTTTCTTTTTGTTTCACTTATTGTACATTTATAGCCAATTTATAAAATATAAAACTGTTGCCTTTTCTTATGTATAAAAATTTTAAGAAAATGCATAGAAAGATTCATTATATATAAAGATTCATTAATTAAAGTAAAAAATTTATAAAATAGAAAATATAATACTTCTATTGGTCTCAAAATATACAGTCTCAATAATTTTTGCCAATAACAGAAAATATTCTGTAAATGCTTATAAATGTAATAATTGCATGTATTATATTTATAAATGTAAATTAGATATATCTTATATGTATACCTGTTTAAAGATTTTAAATGTTTATTGTATGATTTCAGTCATTGTAAAATGTTTTAAATGCATAAATTCTAAGTATTTCATACATTCTTATAGTAACATATTGATATATTAACAATACAAAATTTTGTAAAAGATATGTTGCATATTTAAGCTACTATAACTTCATTATGCTTTGGCATTCTGTCATATTTTACAATATAGAAATACTTAAAGAATTAAAATATCATGACTTTTTCATCCATATAATTATTTCTTTTTTTGAAAATCAACCAAGAAATACTCTTTATTTTCTTATTATTTAAATAAATTTTTTTGTATATAAATATATACATGACAACAAGAAATATTCATATGGATTCCGCACAGCAACTACTGTTTGGCACAAGACATATTTTTGCAAATTTTGATATACAATAAACATTATACAATGCGATTTTTACGCAGGCACATGTAAATCATTGTTTTTTAAGCATAACTTTATATACTGATATCATTATTAGCTCTCATTTGATATTAGAAAAACATTTTCATACAATTATTTTTTTTTTAACAACAATAACATACCATAACAGGATTTTTATACATATAAATCTATTGTTTTAATATTCTATTTTTATTGCAATAAAAAATGAATATTATGCCTGCAAGATATAATTATAACAATCATTGAATGTATTGATTAATATTATCCTCTTATTTTAATTATAGATATTTGCCAAAAGTAAAATTTATAAAATAGAAAATAAAATATAAAATACATATATTATAATTTTCAAATAATAATCAAATATCTTACTACTGATCAATCTAATACAATATTTGGCAGACATATAGCTCCAATAAATTGACTTTGTTATTATATTGTATTGTATATGTGAAATAAATATTCTTCTTAGACCAAATAAATCTCTTACTTGGTATTTAAGTACTTGTTACTCCCTTACGAGCCACTAATAGATTTAATACTGGATGTTTCCTGATATATGATACTGCTTTTTTATGAGTTACCATAGTAAAATCATATCCATTACATTGTAAAATTTTATCATGCATACGAAGACCACTTTTTGCTGCTGGAGATCCTTCGTGAACTTCAGTTACATATATACCCTAGCATTGAATAGCATTAATTAAAAATATGAAATATATTTATAATACATAAATTATATTAATTTTTTTTACATTATCAGTATAACCCTGAGGACTTTTTCTAAAATCTTGATCAATGCCACCTCCAATTTTGAAGCCACATTTCATCACCTCTTCTCCATTTTCATTTACATCTGTTTCTTTTACCAATATAATTGGTATCTAAAAAATAACAAAATAAGATAGAACAAAATAATTTTGTTTAATATCGTATTAATATTTTGTAACAATGTTTTAATGTATTTTTTATTGTATATCAAAAATAATAAATTAAAATAGTGAAATTTATTGTTTTAAAAAATACGTAATAGTAATTGAACTGAGATTTTTTATATTTTTTATTTTTTATGTTTTTTATTATAGATTATAGATGTATTTACACTTAAGCATTCCATAGCAGTGCCAGCTTGATGCTGAAAAGCCATTTTCGCGCACATAATGATAAATCTTGTCTAATCAATTCAAATTGACAATTGTTTCCGATGATTCAACGTGATTACCAATTGCTTTCGCACTATATACACCGATGTAAAAATTACACGATAATTTAAAAGCGTATATTTGAAAATATATTTAAAAAATATATTATTGAATAATAGAAGAATTCTGATTCACTTCCAATGAGTGATCAATTGGTTAATCTTATTAATTTCTATGCACTTCAATGTCGTTAAAATCAGCTAAAACAATTTCTTTTTCACGTTGACAACCATACATATTGGTCAATGTAGATAGGAAAGTACTGTTGCAATAGAATACACTATAGAAAATACCATAGATAAGCTATAGAATAGATATGATATCTTATAAAATATTATATCACATATTTAGAAATATTGATTTTGAAAAAAAATGTATTTCTTACGACTTCTGTAATTTATTACATATATCTACATGTACATATTTTATAATATATGTGTTTATAATGTATCTTGTTTAATATTTATTATCTTCATTTTTCACTAAAGATTTTTCACTATTTTTTTTTTAGCGAAAACATAACATAGAATAAGAATTAATCATTAGCATCATCTTTTAAATATTATACAATTATTATACAATATTACACATTTTTTTAAAAGTAAGATAAGATACAGATAAAAATTTAAGATTAGCATCATTTTTAAATTGTAAAGATAATTTTTTAAAAAGATAATATATAATATAAGATAAGAATTGAGAATCAGTGTCATCTCTTGAATAAAAATATTTTAAAAATATATTTTTTGGATTTCTCGAGAGATGACGTTGACAATCAATTTTTGGTCCATGTTATTTTCTTACTAATTGTTCTCTTTATCTATGTTGTATTCGTTTACAGTATTCTAGACATGGCGCGATTTTTAGTTAAGGTATAGTAAAAAATCATTTTTTCTTCACAGTATATTAAAGTATATGAATAATTTATTGATCATAGAATTACAAATTTTGATTAAAAAAAAGGATTAATTTGATTAAAGAATAGGATTAAACAAGGATATATAATTACATTTGACGCAATAAATGTTTGTTCTTCTTTATTAACAAGCTGAATTTTAGCATATTTTGTGAAAGTTTGACATTTCGATAAGACATTCGATTGTTTTATTATTTTTTTCCTTTTTATTTTATTTTCGCGTTAACCATAATGGACGATGATTAGTTTTATCGAATTCGTCCACGGATAGTTATATGGGGATATAATACACGATTTCTAAATTTCATGGGTCTCATGTATTATACAAATAATTTGCTCAGTCATGGTAGCTATGCTACACGATGAGTTTCTATATCACACGTATCACGTATGCACGCATTCATCAGATATACTTGAAAAATCATTACACTAATTATTTTTTTATCCAAATTTTTTTCTATCTATGATAATTTTTTTCTTCTTTCTTTTTATTATGACAAAAACTACAAATCATATGATCACTGTTTTCGTAATTTAAATTTGTGCATGATTTAATTCTTGTAAAATTCATCGCATAAAGTTCATCTTGTGTTTATAGATGAAATATATATTAATGAATTATGTTTTTTATATATTAATGAATTATGTTTTTTATAAGAGAGCATACTTTGCATATTTGTCGTTTAAGTTGTCAATTTTTTTATAAAAACTTTTTACTTTTAACATGGATTCTTTTAATCTATTAGATAATTTTATCAAGATATATTATTAAAAAATATGCATGTAGAAAATTTAAAAAAAACATTTATAAAGGCTTTAATAAATGCATATATGTAATAAATATATACGATAATGTAGATATTATTAAATATATTATCAGTAAAAAAGAAAATCGAATAATTATAATTTATTTTTTATAAAAAATTTAAATAAGAAATTGCTCATATAAAATTTAATATGAGTTTATTGGTTGATATTAAATTAAAATATCGATATAAATATATACATATAATTTCGATTAATTTTGATAATTTCGTATACATTAATTTTACTACTTATTAAAACATTTTTACATTGATATTATTACGAACAATCCAGTTTGTTTAAAATGTAGAAATATATTTTCATATAAAAAAATGAATTTTTTTTATTTTTTATTTTTCGAAAAAATACACGAACTATGCTCTCGTTTTAAAAGTTCTCATATTACGAATAATTGGAAAAGTACAGTCATAGACGCCATGATAACAATATTTCAATTAATTATTATAATTAAGGCAATAGCCCTAAATTAATAATTTTATAAATTGTAAACTCTATTTGGCAAAAATCAACGTAAGCGTAGTTAATTAGCCTCAGTCTCATTATTCGAGAACGATACATGAGGATCAGACTTTAATAAATTACTCGTATCTTTTTTAACCTATATAACAAATAATTTATCAATAAATTATTATAAAACTTGTCCGATCCAATCAACATAATTTTTGTTTTGAAAACTGATCTTTCATTTTTCTATTTCTATTTTAAAAATAAACAATTTAAAATGTTTTACTTATATTTTATTGAAATTTTAATTAACTTTTATAAAATCTAATTTTTGTTTTTATTAATTAATAAAAAAAATATAATACAGATTTTTTAAAATGAAAAAAAAATTAAATATTAAAATATGTATATTAATAGAATATTTTGCGGGAATAAAAACAGAGTAATATTTAAAGCTATTTGTGATGTTAATTAATTATCGAGCTCAATGTCGATAAATTGTCCATCCTTTAAATATAATTCATACATATATTTACATTTAAATACTCTTTTTCAATTATATTTTTCGATTTTTTTTTGAATTTCCGCATTTTGATGCAATATAATCCTCGAATTGCTTTATTAACATAATTAGTCAAACAAAATGTTGAAACGCACGATTGTGGTTTCTTAATGCCGACAATTAGGAATGTTGTTACAATTAGCACTCTGCATAAAGCGGAAGTTATCGTGATGTATATAGAGATTCGTTTTTCAAAACATCGTTATATTTTTTTATTTTCATTAATTTATATAACAATAATTTTATAAAAAATATTTGTATAAAAAAAAAAAATAAAACTATCTACGCTAAATAATCATTGATCACTTTAGTATAATTATCCTAAATGTATTGAAGTAAAATTGTATTTTATTATTTTTTTGTTAACTTTCAACTCTTATAATAATTATAGTTAAAATTATCATTATTTGTTTTTTAATGAATTGTTATGACTGTTTAAATCAGTTTTCTGTTTTACAATATAAAATATAATGAAAATACAGTGATTTTTTTAAATATTCTTCATTTAAATAATGCCAATTTTTTTTTAATAGCAAAAAAACAACTATATAATAGATACTTAAACGATATTTCTCAAGGATGATAAACGATTCTCCATACTTAACTTTCGTCGTATCTTTTCAACTATACAATCCATGGTAACATTGTGACTAATAATACAATCTATACTATACAGTAGTTAGACGATTATACACATGTGTAATTCTTCATTCCATGTCTAAATTGACTTGTTTCCTAATATTCTGTCGATGGATCTTTTTCTTTCTATTAATCATTGTTGCAGAATCTTCTCAGAAATATTTTATGTCTGTGACTCTCAAATGTGACTAAATTTCAGAAGATAAGATTCTAACGTAGCTCTCTAAAGAATCTCTGTCAATACTTTCACATAACTTATTCCTGTTGTTTTCCTGTGTTTGGTCGACCAATAAATTTGCGAATAACGCAATGGCAGTATTCGATGCAATGATAATTAATAAATCAATCGATAAGACGATTTGTCGATAACTTAATAGTGCACTGAGAAAAATGTTTAGATATGAAGAAACGTTTAGTCTATAGTAACATTTTGTTGACAGAAAACCATGAGATATATTACGATTTGCTAATATTAATTTTCTTTAAGTAAAATGGACATTGTTTCAAATTTGCTAAACGCTTTTCTCAGTATTCTATATATGAGCAAAGACTCTTTTTACGACAAAAATTCCTAATTAATTTTACTTTGACAAGAGTTTATATTTATTACTAGCAGATGTGTGCCACTCGCGAACATACGATTTTTTAAATTACGATTTTTCATTGACATTTTGCAAGATTTTTGAATAGTCAACAATTTTTCAGAGAATTTTTTATAACTTATCTTTATATGCTTTCGTGAAGATTTCTGCTAGAGATCTATTACTAAATCTCGATCATACGTGTATAGTGAACTCTTGCCTTTCTTGTTCCTTCCTTTGTTGATACCTGAAACGAAGTTGAACAAAATTATTAATGTTGCATCAAGTTTAACCTTTACTTCTAAAAAATGATAAATATATTTATTGAAATATTAATATAATTCATGATACTAAAGCAATTTTGCATAATCAAAGTTTTTCTCTCAACTAATATAATTTGTATTATATATTCATACTCTTCTTTTAAGCCTTAGAAGACTTCTATTTAAGTAAAATTTTTTATATATAAAATAAAAAAATATTAACATAATATACATTTAAGCAGTGAGACGAAATAATTCAGATTATATAATACTTCTATAAGTAATATATTGGAATAAGGATCAATTTGACATGAAATGAATTTCTTGATATTTGATATGTGTTAAATATGTTGAAGATTTTGAATAAGAATCAAAAAAATTCAGAGACTTCCTAGTATTAAGAAGAGTACAGAATGAATTTCAACGTGTCAGCTTACTACGGTCTACGGAGGTTCGTGCCGATACCTAGCGAGCATAGATTCGACGGCCTCGATAGGCAGTCTACCCAAGCTGCCGCCGTGGCGGGTTCCGGATGACAGACCTTGCCAATCACGATCACGATCACGATCACGTTCCCCACGATCACGATCACGATC